TTTTCTTTCTTCCTCCCTTAATAATTATAGTTTGCTATATTAAGATATTTTTAGCTCTCAAAGACAGGGACAAAGAAAAAAGCTTTCGAAATTCAGCCAGAAAAATATCCAGAAGGAAGGTCGTTCAAATGTTATTACTCGTTGTCATTAGTTACATCATCTGTTGGATGCCGCTACTTTTGTTCAATATTCTTAACTCCTTCGATTTTTTCCTYGAAAACGCTGCAAAAAGGAARCAATTCCAGTTGTTAGCTCGTGTATTCACGGGRCTAAGTTCGTGTTTGAACCCTTTTATATACGCATTTTACAACCCAAGATTCAAAGAAGAATTTTTCAAGATTTTTCGATGGAGAGTTTTTCGAAGACAAACAACAAAATACAACATGAAAATGGATAAAAAACACATTACATACGATTCTTAAACATTTAAGAAATGCACAACAGTGTCAAATACGAAAGCGGAAAACTAGCGAGCAACTTAGACTAGTTTGAGCTGCGTAGGTAGACTATCATGGTAATGCTTTATCATTATGTGCGTGGGTGTAAAAGTCGTGAAAGTTTATTTTGTGTTAATTAGTAAGATGACGTCTTTCTATCACTTTCAGAATAGATCTTTTTACTGATACAGCGGCCATTTTGAATTATGGGATGCTGGGGGGCAAACCGAAGAATATATAAAGGATAGAGTGGTGGGGTTACGTTTTCAAATAATCTAAAGTCTTGGTGTTTCTCATATTGTTCCGAATAGCAGCAAATTCAATTGCTTTACGAATATAAGAATAAAAAGATAATTGGTGCTAATTGACTGAACAAAAGAAAGTGTGCAAGGGACTCTGATACTGTTGTAGTAAATGATGAAAAAAAGAAAAATGTAAATAGACCTTATTCGTGGTGTGACAATGTTTTCCCAATTCGACGAACCTCCAGGGGATTCATTTCCTTTTGTTTTTACTCTTCGAAAAAATTCATGAGTATCCCAAAGGATACAAAAGGAATAACGATGATATCCCGACGAGTTTCAAAACAATAGCTCTTCATTCCCCCAGAGGTTTGTCACGCTGAATTGGGAAAACATTGTCACACCACGAATAACGTCTATTGCACTAGGTGATTTACTTGTAATGGGGTTCCTGTGCCAAAATCATGTGTGAATACGGGTACCCTGTGTCGGCCAATAGCATCGTCAATCTACTACAGTAAAGTCGAGATGGACCAAGGGAGCGCGGCAGACATAAATTTGTTGATTGGTCTTCCTGTGGTACATAATTTCATTGATTGGTCCTCCTGTGGTATAGACACGCATGCGGTTACTTAAAAGTCGTGCGAGCTCATACGTAAACAATATGGCGAATGATAAATAGAGGATATTACATGGGCGCTTGGAGATACGAAATTTATCTTCGAGTGTTGAAAAGATCTCTCACAAGTGAGCGCAGCGAACGAGTGAGAGATTTTCAACACGAGAAGATAAATTTCGTATCTCCAAGCGCCCATGTAATATTCTGTTTATTATATAATTATCAATGAAGTATGATTTGGCTTTTTCAGGCAATTCTTTCCGTGTATCTTTGAATAGCCATCGCAATGGTGTTATTTTCACACGTGAAAATAACATGTTATTTTCACGTGTGAAGATATCAATTTTTCGAAATAGAGAAAAATAGATATTTCATTGGTAATTATATAATAAATAAATTTATGTGGGTTATTTATCAAAATAAAGGTTTTTATTCCCATGAGATTAACATGGCTGCCGGCGTGAGTAAAGAGATGGACCCGCAAGCTGCTGATCTTATCTAGGGCCTTTTCTTTTCGCTTTTTTTCAAGGCGGCGAGGCTCGAAGGGAAGACGGTCTTTAACTACTTTCGATCGAGTGCTGCCACATTGGTGATGAAAAGAAGCGAAAAGAGAAGGCCCTGGGAACAAATGAGAGCGAGTCTGCATTTGAAAGACTTCCAGCTGAAAATGTGAGAACAGATGGTCCATAATATTAGCATGTATATGTACTATTAGTATTATTAGATAAGAATAATATTGAACATTTGCAAAGTTAATATATAAAACGAATTGAAATACAAAGACTGTGGCTTATTTCAAACAAGTGGCCTGTTGGTCTAGTGGTATGATTCTCGCTTAGGGTGCGAGAGGTCCCGGGTTCAATTCCCGGACAGGCCCCATTTTTTTCGTGCTTTATCCTTCCTTTGCATTTTTTTTTTCCTTTTCTTACTTCTTATCATTTTATCAAAAACTGATTTCTATTAAGCTTTTTAATCAACTGCCACTTAAATACTTCTTAAAATGTTTTTTCAATTAGACTTTACTTGCCCTCTTTTCCCTGAATTTTAAAAATTACTCTACTTATCTTTTTGTTTTATGATAACACGTTCTTTTGATAACGATTATATTTCTGATAACTATCAATTTAAAATAAATATTTTAAAAAATTATGTAAAAACCCCCACTCCACAACCGCGTTGGTCTAGTAACTAGTACCTGTCAAAATGGCGGACGGAGTGGGATGTTTTGGGAAGACACAGAAAAAAAATGAAAAATCCCTTAAAAAAGAACGTCTAAGAAACTCCAAAATACTCCTAGGAGATATAAGAGACATTCATCCTAGTGTACGTCGTCTTTATGAGCTTGGACTCCCCGAAAATCTCTCAAAATGCGGCAGTTTTTTTGCGCCATTTGAGTCCACTCCAGAAGAGTTTGACAAACTTCGTTTTCAGAGGCAAACTTTCCCTCAATGGAAAGTCCAAAGAGAATTCCAGAAACTCCATTATCGACAGAGATTAAGGTTAAAGAAGAGAAAGATTTACATCTTACCAATAGGGCCTTTTCCTAGCTTTGTTTTAAAGAAGATTCTAGGTTTAGCGTCGTCGCTTTTTGAACTTCTTTCAAACTTTGTTTCCGTGTTTTACGCGGGATTTTCGGTCGAAATGTTGGAAGTTAAGGATTTGGGCGAGATTCCTTGTCAAACTAGAGTACATCCAGGAACAGGGAAACTACAAATTTTAGTTGGAGGTAAAAAGTACATTATTTGTAGTGTTTATAATATATTTTGAATCTGTTTTTGAAGAGTTGCCATTTTTCATTCATTTAAAATTTCCCTGCTAGCAGAGTCTCTCCTCTTTTTCTCCCTTCTTTTAGGCGGGGAGGAAGGAGACTATGTAGAGCATTTCATTTGACACACCGCTGTCCACCATTGTGGAAGAACAAAACCAGTTTTAAAACCAGTTTTTAACCAGGTACATGTAGTGCGCTTGTTCAAAAGAATGTAACACACTGTGGCACCAAACGTTGTTTGACAAGAGCGGCTGTCAAAATCATGACAACATTAATGCTAAGTTACACCATGCAGGCAGGAAAAAGTATAACATCCTACATCGGTAGAGTCTATTTTTCTCTCAGAGTCTATTAGGCTCTGTTAGCAGGGAAATTTAAAATAGGAGTAGATCAGAACAGAGAAGGATTGGAATTTTTTGGTTGGGGGGGGGGGGGGGGGGGGGGGGAGGGAGGAAGGCGGTCAGAACAGGGTAAATATTGCATGAATTGTGTAAATATTACGAGTTGTCTACTTCTCCCTGCTCCTTATTACAAATGAATGAGTTGAGGAATAGACAACTTGATTACCTTGTGCAGGGATTCGATTTCCATATCACACCAGACAGAAACACCTGTTAAAAAAGAGGGACAGAGGACTTTTAGAAAGTCTAGGCATGGTTCTGATGAGAGTATATCGTGTAGTTACAGAACTTTACTCTCTCAGCCTTCATGGAGAGGGATTGGATTTTTAAAGGGTGGGGAAGATCTGAGGAGAATCTTTTGTGCACGTCCCAGAAAATATCCATACCAACCCCCACCCCTCCCCCCAAAGAAGTGGATGGAAAGGTAAAAGGAGGGTAGGGATATTTTCTATAACTATTCTACCTGAATTTCATTCTTCTTTCCAATTATCTATCTTAATAATATTTAATTCCCATACTCCAAATTCCCATTTCTAATATTTGACTGCTTCTTTTTTTAATTATCTATTTGTCTTATGTCTTTTATCGTTTTGTAGATGTTTTGTCATACCTAAAGGAACATCGCCCAAGGGATGGCTTTTGCATTATTGGTATTTCTTGGCAAGATCTGTATCCAGGTGATGAATGGAACTTTGTTCTTGGTGAAGCATCATCTGAGGATGGTTGTGCTGCAATAAGCTTTGGTCACTATGAGCCAAAACCTTCAGAAAAACTGTCTACATTGAGAACCCTAACTAATGATAAAGCCAATTATAAGGCCAGCCATAAGGCCAATCATGATGAGATGTTAGAAGGAAATGCTGCAAAGAGTCAGAATTTTGACAGCAATAAATTAGAGTCTTCTTCGTCAGTGGAAAAGAAGTGTGTGAATAACCCACATTTAACAAGAAATGAAAATGGAATAATTGATGACAAAATTGATAATGACAATCTTATAAAGCACTCAAAGAAAGATGTGGATTATGTTTCAAGTAAGAAAAAAAAGGAGACTGATGATTTTGGGAATCTTCATGGACAAGAATCTAACACTAGCACTAGACATAGATTCATAAATTCAAAAGGTATTTCATCTTTTGTCAAAAATTCACTCAATGATTTACCTATTGATGGCAATATAAATGATTCAGGTGAGAAAAGTAGTGGCCAAAAAGAATGCAGTGACCTTGAAAATAATTCTGGAAGAACAGAAAAAATAGATGTATTTGAGATCTGGAAATTCTTTAGGGTGAGTATGGAGTATATATCCTCTGCATTTATCTCTAACTCCCAGTGGAGGGGGGGGGGGTACTCCACCAGAGTTTGGGTAGGGGAGTACCACTGGGATTCTGAAAGGGGTACCCTGTTTATGACAAAAAAACTCAAATTTGTAGACCCTGTTAATGATAAAAGATATAATTTATTGCACTGAGTTCCTGTTTCAATTATCATGTCATCTCGCATATCGTTTTTTTAAGACCGTAATAACCAGTTTCGGTCAATACGAAAGTAGAAACCCTGAATATGACAGGAAACTCAGGAAGAACTTGGAACTTGAGTGAAATTGCATACCCTGTTTATGACAAGAAGCTCGAAAAACCATACCCTGTTCAGCGGATCATCCCCGTATAGTCCATATATGAGAGTACCTCCCCCCCCTGGCTCTTACTGTACTTTCTTTGGTGCTTGGGTTCCCTGTGTTATATATGAAAGAAGCTACCTTTGCAAGATATAAGCTCATAAATCCCCCCCCGACCCCCTATCTGGCTGGATTGAATTGAAGAAATAGAAAGTGTATGTGCATGCTGTGTGCAGTCATGAAGCACAGTGGACTGGCAGAAAAAGCATGCCACATAGTAGAGTTCTTCTCAACGCTTTGCAAGTTTTGTCAATCCCCAAGTACTTTATATCTTTGTGCAGCACATCAAGCAAGTTCTTTCTTTGGTTTTATATGATAGAAATTAGAGTATGATAGTCATTATTTTAGACATGGTTCGGATGAAAAAAAGTGTGCACATTTGCTCTTGTAATGCACTCCCTCCCAACCAATCAGAAGGCTGTATTTATTACAGTTATTTATATAATTGCATTTAGAAGTTATTTTTTTGGAGGGATGAAAAACAGAGAACTCAGAGAGAAAACCACACAGAAGAGAATCAACATGAACCAGCTAGTATTACTCGCATATAATACTGAGCCCAGAAATTGAACCCGGGTCCCATTGTTGAGAGACTTTAATGGCCGCACCACCCATGCTACCCATAAGTTTTCCACAGGTTACCCAACAACCATTCTTATTTATTTCCTAACTTCCATTACATGATCTTTTTCTCTTGCAGGTTGTGAGTCATGAACTTGGCCACATATTTGGTATAACCCATTGTTCTTACTTCTCATGCGCAATGAACGAGAGCACCACTATTGCTGAAGCTGTCAATCAACCTCTATTCATGTGTCCTGTCTGCCTGAGGAAAATTCAGAAAGCTGTTGGATTTGGTGTAGTGGAGAGGTATAGTAGATTACAGCATTTTCTGGAAACACTTCACTCTGATTTATTACAAGGTTTGAGAGGTAAGCATGATAATAATAGTGATCATATTCCTGGGGCTGAAAGAAATGATATTGATAATTCTTTTGGGAGAGAATTGGAAAAATTATCCAAAGCTGTTGATTGGATTGACTCTGTTCTCAACTTCCTAAAAGATTAATAATATTATAATTATTTTAAAAGATAAATATATCTTTTACTAAAATGATGTAACATAAAGATTCTCTTATACCCAAAACTTAAAAATGTAAACAGTTTCTTAAAATTTTAAAAATCAAAAATATCTAAAACGTTTTAAATAGTTATTTTAATAAAAGGAGCTTTTTACAACACTAACAAAAAGTCGTACCGAAAATATACCTTATGTCAATGTCTTAAAAGGTGAAGTTGTTTATTTATTTATTTATTTTTTTTGTGTGCAGTTGTTTATTATTATTTTCAATAACAGAGGAAATACCAATACTTTTTCTCCATTGTTGTGAGAGTTAATTTTTTTATCTTTCATTCCTTTTCATTTCTTTTCATTATTTTGTCACATGCTGCAGTTGCCTTGGCCTGCTGGCCTCCAAGCCTTCCATTAGTCGTATTTTGTTAATGTTTAATCTCGTTAAGCCATCTGTCAACGATCTCTCGAAATTACACAGTGAAGCACTGAATAGGCTCTTCAATCCATTCTCTTAAATTAAATCACGGTTATTACCATCTATCAATATATTTGATTATTTCATATGGTGAGCTATCGCTTCCCGAGCCGAGTGTGAACGCAAAAGGACTATGATTTTATTTTTACCGGCTCGTTGATGCATCAACGCATGCGTTTGAGTCTATTTACACAAGTCAGTCGTCAATCAAGAATTCTTTTCAACGCAATAGTACCGAAGATAAGAGTGAAAATAGCGCCGTGGTCAAGTGCGGTTGCAGGTAGCAAGTTTACGTGAATCCAAGACAATACGAAGAGGAAATGATTTATCTAAACAGGGCAACTATTGGGCATGATTTTAGGGCTTGATCATAGAAATATTTCCGTCAATCTGACAAGATGTGAAGAGACTATATACACAGCGTCCCGTCTTTGAACGCTGTCGTCTTCAAAGACCGGACATTACTAATGGATAACATTTTGTAGTTAAAGCATGAGTGATCTAAAAGTCTGGGTCGATGGAAAAGAAAGAGTTATTCGAGGTGTGAGCCAGAATACTACTTGTGAAAGTGTTGTGCTCGTTCTAGCTAAAGCGGCCGGAAAATCAGGCAAAGTTGCCTTGTTAGAAAAGTGGGGAGATTTTGAACGGATTTTACCGCGAAATGAGAACCCATTAAAGTGTTTAGAAGCATGGGGGACTCGAAAGAAAGATGTACGTCTCGTTCTTGAAGAAGATGATTCACAAGAGAAAACAATAGACTTGTCTAAAAGCTTTATTAAGTTAACTACCGATAATAAGTATGACCTTATAAAAAGATCTGTTGATTGCGGATCCCTGGAGAATTTCACAGCACTTCAGCAAAGAAAATTAAAGACTTTGTCGCGTGCCCTGGAAATTCTCGATTTTCAGCTCAGTTGTTGGGACGACAACGATGAAAAATTTCTCTACTTAACAGAGGAAGAAATTATCGAAGATTTCTCTCTGAAACTAAGCCAGACTGTCAAACTTCAAGCGAAGGAGTTGAACGAGTTACACACTTTACAGACAGAGCTAAATGAGCTTCAACACTCTCACGAGAACTCGACCTCAAAGTTTGAGTCGTTCTCTGAGAAATTTTCACAATTTGAGTCGGAAATTGCAGATACATACAATGTGGTTGAGAAACTTTTAATACGGATTGAGAATTGTGAAGGTGATGGAGAAGGGACCTCGGTGGATGTGAGTTCTGACCTGCAGAACGAGATACGAGTCCTTCAACTTGAGCTTCATGAACAACAACGTCTGTCTGTCAAACAGGATAAAGAACTCAAGGCTATCCAAAGCTCTGTATCCGAGTTGACCAAAGCTTTCCAGCTCAAAACTAATCAAATCGAACAGCTTAGAAACGAAATAACATCTGAAGAAGTCTTTTACGACTTAGACGAGCATTTTCGACCTCTGAGCCCTGAAGAGGAGCCATTTCTTTATGAGCAGTGTTTATCGAGTGACAGCGTTGATAACAAAATGTCTAGTGATGTAGATACTGAAAATATAACTAAAGATTTTCCAGAAGTTAAGACTTCAGGGTCAAATGGAAGCAATATCGATGATGAATCTGACATAGGTTTACCAAGAAGGTCTTCCTCTGGGAGTCCTGAAGAATTTTTCAAAAACTGGAGTACTTCTACGAGACTTGCAAATTCACCATTGAATTATTTTCCTTCGGTGAATGGGGTGAAAGCAAGTCAATCTAATCCTCCAAAATTGTCTTCAATATCTAAAATCGAGTCACAGACCTCAGAAAGAAAACGGGAAAATGGGATAAATGAGAGTGAAAATGTTAATGGGAAAATATCGCTTCCGCTTTTTGACGGTGCAAGTAGAATTCCCATTGAGAATTCTGTTGATGTCTTTGATGCAACAGAAACCATATCTTCAAAAACTGATAAACAGTTTGGTAAGACTTCTACCACTGGCAAAGAAATTTTTCCGTTATCTAGAATTAAAAATAAAGATTTTCCAGAAGGGACAAAATCTGCAACACTGTTAACCCAGAAACCATCTTCTTTATCCCTTAAAACTGTCCAGGATACAAATGCCAAATCTGCAAGTCATTTTCCAAAAGCAAGTTCAACAATAGAAACTAAATTGCATAAAGAAACAAGAAAAAATTCAACAGATGACATCTTATCTGTGCTTTCTATGGAAAAGGACAAAACACAGCATGATATTTCAAAAATTTCATCTAAACACCAAACTAATCCCAAACCTTTTAAAAATAGCCCTCCTATTTTAGGACTTCCAAATTTTGCAAAATCATCAACTTTGAATAAATTGGATAAAGCAAATCCTAAATTCAATTCTGAAGATCGAGGGCAAACTGAGAAGCTGCCTCCTCCAACGTTTCCAAAACCATGGAGAAAATCTTCCACAGGGTCTCAAGGAACTGCAAGAACTGTGACAACAAAGCCTTTCCCAGATAAAGCATATCTTTTACCTCCCACTGCTAAGTACAAAGGAAATAACCACAGAAACGAGAAGCCATTGAGTCGTGGTGATTTATGTGAAGAAGGAGTATTTGTTTAGCAAATTAATGCTTGTCCCATATTTCATATTTGTGAAAGAACTTAGCTATCACCTACTACTCTGAAGTCAAAAATAAGTTCACCACAGAAAGGAGAAAACACTGAGCCTTGATGACTTTTGTGAAGGAGGATTATTCATTTAGCAGCAGATTTCTACTCGTTTTTGCCAAGATTTCTATCCATTCAAGCTAAACAGTGACTTCATGTCCTGCTGTGAATTCACAAAAGAACTCACTCCACAATAGCAAGACCAATGAACCATGGTGACTTTGGTGAGAAAGGGGTGCATGCTTAATGGATTCCCCTGTGGTGCTTTGTAATATTCACAATTGTTGAATGACCACAGTGAAAGAGATATATTTATTGCAACCTACTGCTGTATTCTTTTAGCGTTTTGCCAGGGTGAGTGAAATAATAATATATTTATATAGAGATCTTTCCTTGGGAGTTATTTCTTCCCTTTTCAGACAAAAATAACTGTAAGAAATGTAGATTGTTTCTTCAAGCTAATTTTATTTTGGCGAAAAAATTTAAGCTCCAGGTGGGAATTAATTCAAAGGCATGACCTTCTGTTTGACAGTCAGATTAGATTTTTTTCCTAGAAAAATTAGCTTGAAGAAGCATGATTTACATTTGTTATGATTTACCAAGTACAACATGAAAACAGAGTTTTTCATATGTAAGAGAGGTTGGTCAGTCCAGAACAAAAGTTATTCAAATATTCACCATATTTTGACTCATGGGTGTATAATAATGATAAGATTTTTTTGGGAACAAGAAGCATGATTTACATTTGTTATGATTTACCAAGTACAACATGAAAACAGAGTTTTTCATATGTAAGAGAGGTCAGTCAGTCCAGAACAAAAGTTATTCAAATATTCACCATATTTTGACTCATGGGTGTATAATAATGATAAGATTTTTTTGGGAACAAGATCCCTATCTTGTATTTTATATACAATTCCTGTATCATCTTAAGTATTTTACATGGATAAAAAAGTAATACTAAAGAGAATGACACATGGTCTGAAATGGGAAAACGTCTCACATAACCTTTTTTGGTGCATTTTATAAATATTAAGTTATTCCTATGCGCTTCTGACCCCTTTTTAAAAGTAAATGTCTAATGATTGCACGTCGAGGGAATAAAGGCACAAAGCTTTAGAATAATTTTATTTATTGTTAATATTGTTATAATAATTATTAGAATTATATATTTAATAACTTAGAAAAGTAGAAATTTATGTAGATTATGAAGATCTTCTATACTTACGAGTACAGATGAATTTACATGATTATATTGGAGAACTAAAAAGCATGCGCATGTCTCTTTACTGTGATATAAACATGCTGGGAGCTGAAATGCACAAGAAAAGAAAGCCTAGGAATATGAGACATAGCCGAGTTTATTTCCTCCTTCTTGAGTGCTCTATAGCTGCCAGAGTGTTCATTTCACCTTTTTATATAGAGGAAAGCTTTTTCTTAGTTGATCTGATAGAAGGGTCTTGAATAGTCCCCTTCACAGTTCCCTGCGCCATCTTGAATGGTAGTCGTGCCTTTGCATGGAAGTGAGATGAAGGGTGAGCTTGCAATGATAGAGACATGGGAATAATCTATGGAGGTGATAAAGAAGATGCCACAGGGAACTGTGAAAGGTATAATACAACCAATTCTATTAAGAAGTTTACTGCAAATTCCCCAGCTCTCCCACCATTAAAAACGTAATTTTCTTGAGTTACTTCTCATGAGATTAACAGCTTTATAATAGTTATTCTAAACAGATAAATGAACAACTAACTGGATTTTTTTCAATTTTCTCTTATGCATACATAGTTTCAATTATTCAAATGACAGAAAATCCAATGTTGATGTAACCTTTGCTCTCCATCTTCTTAGTGTTTCAAATAATTATTATCTGCTTGTCAAATTCCTTAATAGTTAAAACAGAGAACTTATGTAATTACAGGAAACTTTAGGCTTAAGGAATCATTCTTCACTTGTCATTCAAGCATATTATCACTAAAATTTCACTCCTAGTCCCAATACAATGCCACAATCTTAAAATTGGACAAAGAGTGATTGAAAAATTGAGCAGTGTGAATAAAGACACCATTCGTATAAGGTATGGTGAACCTACTGCAAGGGATAGCTTTTGTTTTTGGTGTTTAAACGATAACTAAAAGCTTGTCCCTAGCACCAGGGTCACCCTACCTTCATGTTAACGGTTAAAGGTAGGGTGACCCTTCAGCTACCTCTTTTGGTGTCTCCTGGGAAAGGAAAACAAAAGACTTGTCCCAAGCATTAGAGTTACCTTGCCTTCATAAAACTGGGACCAGAGTTTATATTAAAATTAAGTCAAAATAGTATATAAAAAAGCTGATATATATTCTTGTTATTTGTTTTGAATATATTTAATAATAGGTCGTTTATGATGTAAAGAATCTTATGAAAGAATTCTACAATAAAATTTAAAAAAATTGTGGTAAATGGGACTGTCATAATGGGACTATCACTGATGTTATGGTATTGTGGGGAGGGGGCCTGAAGGATTCCTAACTGAAAATGGATAAATGTAAGTTTATAATCAAGCTTGATCAAAACTACAAGAGATAATTACAGTTCAATACTTAGAATTTTAAATTAGAAAATTAGAAAAAATAGAGGAAATTATGAGTAGATTTTGAATGGAAGAGAATTTTTAATATAAATGAATTAAAGGTTTTTTATTTTTAAACTTAATTGAAATTCTTATTTAAGGTCAGATATTTCTTCATTATGTTGATAACAGGGCTATTAAGTGATCAAAAATATTAAGATTGCACTCTACAAAGGCCTAAATCGCGATATATCCAGAAAATGTAGTTATGCAAAACTTGGGAGATTTGATTGGATCGTCAAACAATTACGGACAGGAAGCCATTGTAATGCTTTGATGGGCTGTCAAGCCGTGAATAACTAATAGGGTAGTGTCTTATTGCTTGGATACGACGGGACGCTTAGAACACAACACAACCACACTGAATGACTTTTAGACTCTTGAAGTCTTTAAATTTGTGCTTTAGACTTCAGCAATTTGTGAGAAAAAACACCATTCCTCTTGACGCTAAAGCTTGCAGCTGATCTTGGAATCTTCTCAGAGGTCTTTGTACTCCGATGGGCGCATAAACAGGAAGACTAGAAGTTCAGAGTTCTGATTGGAAATCGTTCCAAGGCTGTCCCTCTGCAACAACAGAAACGATAAACAATTCTCTGCAATTATAACAGCTTATGATTTTTGGAAATTATTTTCAGAACAGGATCATTAGCACTAGAGTTTTCGGTGCTTTCGGAACTACTGTTTACGCCAACTCTGTTAACTTGAGGAATGCTGTTTTGTTGAGCAAGTTTTTTTAATTTTTGAGAAAAAAAACTAATATTTAACTTTCAAGGAAAGTTATTCTGTTTGAGATACTTTTTAAAATCAATCTGTAGGGTTTTGAAGATTTAATTTTGTTTTTGTATTATTTAGTTGCTAAGCGCGAAGTAGTAATTTTCGCTTTAGTTGCCCATTAAGCGATTACTAATAAGTGACTGTTTAGAGAGTTAAGTAGAGTTGCGCTTCATCATGGCTACTCCAATCGTAGTGCCTAAACTCGTAGAGAAAGAATACCTTAGCACTCTTAACGATCGTTTTGCGTCTTATATATCTCGTGTTCGACAAATGCGCGAACTGAGTGGCCGTAACGATACGGTCAACTTCATGAACTCAACAAAAATCTTGGAGGAAGAAATCACGGCATTGAAGGCGATGTACGAGAGGCAACTGGAGGAATTGAGACATCAACTGGAGGATTTAGCCAAAGATAGAACACAGCAGCAATTAGCTGCTGCCAAGAATTCAGCGCTCGTTGCTGAGCTCCAAGACAAGTAAGTTTATATTCTACCCACTAGAATATATATACTTTAATTTTGAGCCATTTATACATTTACTATCTATTAGATACATAATTTTGATATTTTAATTTTAACTCGTTTTAATTACAAATATCAAGTGTACGTCTAAATGTATCTTTGTTTATGTGTTTATAATAAAAAGCCATTCAACTGCAGCAGTCTAGTGGCTTTCCTGCAAGGAATGTATTGGTTGCCATGATGTTACACTTGAATGGCTTCCTGAATGTGACACTGAAGTGGCTTCCCTAGTGACAGGTCTTTGTTTTTGTATTAGTTTTTCATCCTTTGACACAAGTGTGACTGAATGTAATGATTAAGACATCAAATCCACTTCATTTTGACAAAGTTAATTATGATTTGTTTAAAGCAAGTACATTTGAAAAAAATGGATAAAAATTAAATATAATTTTGGAATTTTGTGGGTGCAATTTTCTTCGCTTTTTGTAATTAAAATATAGTTGAATTATTGATAGAATAGAATTTTAAATCAAAAAATAAACATGTAGTATTTTTGTTGTTCTTGATTATACATCATTTTTACAAAGAGAGATAATGTTATCTTTTTTGTGTGTGTGCTATTTGGCAAATTATTACAGATACCTAGAAATAATATTTATTAGAAAACATGGACCGCAGAGCATAATTTTGATGGGGGGAGGGGAGGGGAGGGGCTAATGATAAGACCAGGGATGGCAGTAGCATCTAGTTTTGAATTTGAGATCCTCAGAAATGCGACTCCCAGCAGTGTAATACCAACATGGTGACAATGATTATTGGAGAGGCTATAGCCCCCCAGAAAAATATACGGATTTTTTTCAGATGTTGATTCTATAGTGACGTTTATAATTATTATCTTCAGACTTGGTAATGAAACAAGCAATCGCAAGAAAGTAGAGAATGCCCTGGCAGATGCACACAGGGTTATCGCAGATAAAGAAGCATTGTTGCAAGATGCAAGAGTTACTACTACACAACACCAGAATGCACACATGGACACCACACGTGAGAGAGATGGTCTCCAAACAGCGCTCACCCAGACTCAGCAAGCTTTGGACACTGAGATGGCAGCAAGAGTTGATTTACAGACAAATGTTAATCAGCTGAGAGAAAAACTGGGGTTTGAACAGCAACTTCATGAAAAAGTAATTATTTTCACCTCTGACGTCTTAATAATAAACCGTTTTCTCAAGGTTGCATGCGCATCCAACTTGACGGGCCACAAGACTGAAAAATGCAAATACAAAAATTTGAGAAGCCAGTTTTACATCTAAAGAGGAGATATGATCGATTTTATGAATTATTATTGAAAAAAATTTCCTAGCAATGCATGATAATACTCGTGTTCTGGTATTGTGGCCCCTCAAGTTCCATAAATTTGGATGTGTATGCAACCTTGAGAAAATGGAGTAATAGACCATTTTGGAGTTCAGTGTCTAAATGTATCAGTGTCTAAATATTCACATATACGAACGATAAAGTAAAGAATGCACAGCTTCAACAATATAAATGCTTTGATATTCCACGGACCTTCACTGGAATATTCTGCACAACATTGAGGCTAACCCTGAGCAACAGAGAACTTGAAACTGGAGTATTCATAAAAAATCCATTGTGTCCCTTGATTACAGGCTTATTTACTCATGTTCAGCGCCACTTCAGTTTCAAAATATTCACAATCAAGTAAAGAATGCACAATTATGACCATATACAAACACTTTAAAATTCCACAGAACAGAAACACATGAATATTTTACACAAAATTGAGGTGAACCCTGAACGATATAGAATTTGAAACTATAGGTGTTTCTTCCTAAGTGCCATATGTGGTAGGATTATCTATAAGATTGTGCCACCACAGGTAACCCATACACCTAATGTTTTATCTAGGAAATGGCTGAAATTAGGGCTCGCCTTAACGAAGCAGACCAGACGATACTTCTTGCTGAAGAACGACTGCATGAGCACAATATCATTGATGAGAACCTGGCAGCAATGCTTGCGAAGGTGAAGCTACATAGTCAACATGAGCTGCGCCGATTCAAAGAAGAGTCTGAAATTTCACACCAGAACAGCGTAAGTACCATATATTTTACAACCATCACTAACCGTATGGGGCACTTCTGTGAGGCTATCTCCACACACCATACAGGCTCTTGCACGTTCATATTTTGAACGAGCTTAACCAGCTTCTGGACAATACATGATTAAATAAACGATTGATTGATTCAATTGATTTTGGAGGGAGGAAACTGAAAAACTCGGAGAAAACCCACGTGGCAAGGGAGAGAACAACACATCAAACAAACTATTATAAACTCACATCCAGTCTTTAGGGACTTTAGGAACATAGATAAGCATTGAGAATGGAGACAACTAGACTACGAGCACAATTTAGAACCCTTTTCCATGCACCCATTGTCCTCCTTAGTGTTGCCGTTCTCTCTAGGATAAAAAGTTCCAATTCATGATGTTTTAGCAAAAACGGAATGCCTAAGATAATGGAGTGAATGTGAAAACCAAGCTGCTCACATCTTTGTCTTGGTATTGTCATTGATCTCAGCTATTATTTACTGCCTCAACAATTACACCTGTAGCAACAGCAACTACAACATCGGCAGTAACAACAACAACAACAATGACAATAGCAACAAATTACAATAGCATCAAGAAAAAAACAAAAACAAAAACAGCAGTAACAACATTGACAGTATTAACAACAAGACTGCTTGTGACTGGGAAAAGTGATGCCAGGCAATAGTACCTCTTTTTTCCCAAAGGAACAATGTGTCTAACAATAATTCTTTGTAAATACTAGATGAACCAGTTGAAGATCCAGTTGGACAATGAGAGTAGAAATCTTGCTTCTGCTACAGATGATAACATCCATATGAAGGCTCATATTGAGAGCCTGCAGTCAAAGATCATCAACCTGGATGCCAAGGTAGGTGGATACAGATTAATGATGGTGTATGATGATGATGTAATATGATAATGATGTATGATGGTGATAATGATATATGATAGTGATGATGATGATATATGATAGTGATGATGATGGTGATGATGAAGGTGATGATAAAGATGATGATGATGGTGTTAATGTATGTTAATGATGGTGGTGATGATGACGGTGATGATGGCAATGATGTCATTGATGGTGATGATGAAGATTATGATGTATGGTGATGATGATGATGATGATGATTTAGATACATGATGATGTTGATGGTGATGATGATGGCAATGATGATTGTGATACATGATGATGATGATGGTGATGATGGTGTGTTGATGGGGATGATGATTGTGATACATGTGATACTTCATGGTCATAATGTTGATAATAGTGTGATAAGATCATGGTTGGTGATGATGTTAACTGTAAAAGTGAAGTACATCTTTTATTTTTAACATGACTTTCAATGTCGTATTTTTCGTAGTGCTCAAGCCTAGAGGCTCAAAACTCCTCTCTGATCCAATCCCTGGAAATGGAACGTCAACAGGCTGCAAATACCATCAAGAACCTGGAAGCAAAGCTCCGTGAGCTTCAGGAAGCCTTGATGGCCAAAGTAAGAGAGCTTGGTCTGGCTTACAACGCACATGTGCCTTTGGATCTGGAGCTGGGTGCCTTTGCGACATTGCTTGAAGCTGAAGAAAGAAGGTACTTCTGAAGACATACCCTCCTCAGACTCTCCCACCCCCACGGGGGAGGTATAGAATTTTTCCAAGATGCTGTTTATAGACCCATTGCATGTAATGTCAAAGCAGCTCAATTTGAAGGACAAAAGAAAATAATTTCAATCTCCTGAGAACTGGAAACCTATTGTTTTGCCCTCCCAATTGAGCTGCATTAGGACGGTGCTGCAAGGGGTCTAATCTGACCCCTAAAACCTAAAACTGCTATTCATTATCAGTTTGCTTAATTGATTTATTTTGTGTTGATAGGCTTAGCCTGGCATTACAGAACCAAGCTCCTTTGGCACCCGTCAGGTCTCGTACATGGCACACAATAACACCAAGAAGCAAAACTCTAACTACTGAACCTAAGCGCCCAGCTAGTACTCTTGGTATAACACCTTCTAGTGTGTCAACTTCCACCAAAATACACACACCCATAGCCAGACCAAAAACCACCGCCGGTGAGTTTGTCATATGACCTCCTCAGACCCCCAACCCTCTCCCCTTTAAAGCCTTACCCAGGGGGGAGGTATGGATATTTTCAGATCCTCCCCACCCATCGGAATTGTTTACTCACTCCATAAGGGAGATATGGATATTTTCTGAAACTAGGCAATACACCCCCCTCTAACCTTCCCCACCCCTTAGAAATTCCAATCCCTTCCATGGGGAAGGTAAGGATGTTTTCTGGAAGTATGAAATTTATCCTCCTCAGACCCTCAGAACTTCGTTCAATGTCACCTTTATGGCGAAGATAAAAAGTATAAACTTTTATTCACAGTACACAAAATGTTTTTAATAATAATTAATATTTTATGCTTTAACTCACAGGTACCCTTTCAGTGAGCAGGACGGTTCCTCCTGTAGTGGAACCAGTAACGACAGCCAGTCCTTACCGCCACACCTGGTCATACGTGCCAAACTTTATTGACTACCACAGCCCTACATCAAGGTAAGACATTAAAATGCACTAGAATTTGTTTGAGTCTCTTTCCCTGGATTTGAGTGAAGCTTTTTTCCAGATTCTCCAAGGTTACCCATTCATTACCTTTTACATTTTTGATTGGCAGTAGTAAAACAAATTCCGACAGGCAAATTGCAAGTGCAGAGTTTGCATGTTTAGGAAAACAGCACTAAGAGAAAAACGTTGGAAAACGTTGATCGAGTGTGTTGAAAGGTGGTATCATACTGCCTACAGTCCCAAATACGTTTCCCTTTAACTGGAAACGGTGGGTGGGTAGTCGCAAAATTTCTTCCTTGGCACTGATCTTGTGAATGCAGTGCCGATTGTCAGTTCGTTATCCACTAGATAATAGTCCCAAAGGGCCGAAAATATAAAAACATATTTAAACTTGTCATGTTATAATTTATTCAGCGAGCAACGACCTTTTTTTATCAGGGAGGGGGTAGGGGGATGCACATTACCCATACAAGGAATCCAACCCCCTCTTCATTGTTGCATAAAATAATTCCCCCTCCATTGTTTTTCCCTACTCTATATCGTAATTTTGTGTCCCCCTCCCTGGAAATCTTACTGCCC